CAATTTGGTTCAGACTGCACATCTTTTGGGTTTTAAACTTGCAAGTGTAACAAAAAAGATTCATCTACATTGCTCCAGTGCCACCATCTAGTTCCTCTTTTGAATGTCAACAACTTACAATTTAACGTTAACCAAAAGAACCATATCCTTGTACTGGTAAACAGGATTCGAGACTTTACAAATTGAGTTGTTATCCAATTCAAATTAGTTGTGTAATTACTATTGTATTTGGTATAAATTCATACAACTTTAGTGTAAAACTTGAGCTCGTGATTTATACAACTAAATTTGTGTAAAAAAATTATAATTTCACTGAAATTATACGAGTTCACACCAAATGTTGTTAGATATTCACAACTGATTTAAACCGGAGGGCTCCAAATCCATGGTAAATGGATGTGTGAGGACCCGTAAAATTTTTTTAGTTTATATTATATTATTTTATTTATTTTGCATGCATTTTCTTTACTTTATTTTACTATATCAATTTTCCAAAGATTTTTATGAGTGAGTATAGTTTTTAACTCATTTTCCTAGTATAAGATAGTTCATGTTAAGTTTGAAGTGTATTATTGGCGCGTGACCCACTAGTGTGCTAAGTGCGATAAATTTTTGATGATTAGTTGAAGTTTTGTATAAAGGGATATTACTGTACAAGGTGTTAGAAGATAGTTAGAGGTTAGCTAGATAGATTAATGATTGGTAGACAAAAGGATGAGATTTGAACCCTAAGGTGTCATTTGTCACAAAATCATTGGAAGTTGGATTTTTGACCAAGGTTATTAACTTTACTAAAATCAGATTTTTGACCAAAAATTGCTTCACTTTCTTGTCTCCTTTGGCCGAAAATATTGAGAGAAAAACCAAGAGAGTTCTTCATCTTCCACTTCAATTTCTTGTCCAAATCTTGAGTTCTAACCGATTAAATCGCAAACTACTCCATAAAAGTGCTAGTTAAGGTAGTTTCCAAGGTGTTTGTGGAGCTATTTTGGGAGGAAGAAGCCTAAGCTACCATCTTTCTTGTGGGTATAAGGTAACTTGCCAAGAAAATCCCTCTTTACTTTTAATAATTGCATATTAGTGGATTATAGTTGTTAAATAGGTAGTTTTGTGAGAAAGTTCATGGCTTGAGTTAGGGTTTGGTAAATTTCAGATTTATTGGAGATTTTTCTACCCTCATGTGATGATTAATGATTGGTCATGGAATGATAGCTTTGTTATGTGTAAAATGAAGCTAATCTATGCTAATTTTGGTTGTCTACGGAAAGTTTCAGCTTGTGGAGTAAAATTCCAGCTTAGGGTTTCCATTTGTAGTAATCTGTCCTGGTTTTGCACTGTATGTTCATCCTTGAGGGAGGCCAAATCAGCCCTTGCTCAAAACATGAAAGTTGTAGGTAATTGAGTTAGCTAACTACTGGTAAAATTTCAGTTCAATCAGAGTACTGTAGCTTGTGAAATGACCAAAATACCCTTGACTGGCCACAAGCCTTGTTTCACGGACAGTTTTCTGTTCTCTCTGAGATTTCGATTTTTGACCATGAAAATGCATGATTTGGCTTTAGAGGTCTTCATAATAAATGTAAGTATATGTCTTGGCTTCGAAACGACATAAGATTCGTCTCAATCCGATAAGTGTAGCTTTAGTTGTGGTTATCATGCCGAAAGGTGCGTGAAACTTGATATTTATAGAATTTCCTTTGTTTGACATGATATTTGTAACCTAAGGCTTGGACTTGAGCACGGAAACTATCTTTGATGAATGTGGAGCTCAATTGTGATTGATTTTGGAGCTATTAATTGGCTCAAATTGATGGGTATTGTGGCCCTATTAGATGTGTTTTATTGCCTATGAATCGTATGTGCAATTGTGGTTGGTTTGAAATCAAATTTGGTGTGGATTGTAGGATGGAAAAGTAAGAAAATTTAAAGGAAATGCTGTCCAATTTTTTGGGGGAAGTTGGCTCCTTCAAGTGTGAGTGGATTCTTGGTAGAAATGAAGGGGCTTTTGGGTTGTTAGTGTTCCTAGGTCCTTATGCTACCTTTTCGTCCAAAATCACATTTTTGTATCCTTGCAGTAGTAATTAAACTTGGTTAGGCATATGACTCGGAGTCGAGCCTAAATTGTGTAATCCGTTCCCTGAGTTTGTGGATGTGGAAATCATAACTGTTTTGCCTTGGTTATTTTAGGGTTTCTTGGTGATTAAAGCATACTTTGGGAGGGAACCCTTGAAGTTATTTTTGCTCGAATTGGTGAGTGTACCACTCCCCTCATTTATTGCTTAATTGGATTTCTGTACATGAAATCTATGATTTGAATGACTGTACTATCTGTTTATTCTGTTCGAGACGAGGGTGTACTTTATCACACTCATTCTCTTGTTCTGTATGCCTATTTACTATGTATACTTGAATCTGTTATCTGTATCTGAGTCTGTACTGACGTTGTCTGGAGGCTTGTATCCCACGACCCTTCTGTGATTTTTGAGTTCAAAACCTGTGGTTAGTTACTCGAGTCGAGCCGGCAAGGGTCTGGTCGATTAGATAACGAGTTACGGTAGTCTGTTTCTGGAAAGTTTTTGGGTATTGGAGACTCTGGAATTTCAGTATATTCGAGTATTACCACTTCTGTTTCTGTTGAGGTGTTCTGGCCCGGTAAGGGGTATGTTTGGTGGACAAAATTTGGTGTAAAGTGGGGTCTACGGATAGGGTTATTCTTTATACGTTGACGGAGAGTCAACGGGTTTGGATCAAATAATGCAATGGGAACTTTGGGCTCCCGAGAACCACCTGTATCCTTTCTATCTAAAGTGTTTGTTTATTTTCCTATTTGATATGCACATGTGACTAATTGAACATGAAGTTCCATGATTCTTGACTGTTATTATTTTGGTACCTCATTGAGTGTAACCTCACCCTCTTCCCGTTATTTTTGTTTTCCTTACAGGGGACAAACTTTGAAATCATGGTTTTGGAAGAAAGGGTCGAGCTAGTGTATAGGTTATTTTGTTAAGCTCTTTTGCAACCGAAACCCTAATTGTATTTTGAACAGTATGAATACTTTGGCTTGTACTTTAGTTAATTTGTTCAAGACTCCAATGTAATAAGTATTTAACCTTGTTTTTTTTTTTTTTAAGTGTATTCCTTTGAGATGTTATTCTTCTATGGCTTTGGTGAATGTTTCTTGTAACCGTTGGACGATCGGGCGAGCGCGGCATTTGAAAAATTTTGGGTTAGCCACTGCCTTTAATCCGGCCAACTTCCGGCCGGATTGTGACGTGGCCATTTTCGTTCGTTTTCCTTTCGTTGAGGTGTTTCATTGAAGTTCCGTATCACCGTATGGTTTGGTAAGTTATATTTTATCTTGGTGGTCTCCAATTGTTTGTTTTCTTTGGGTTCTATTGCGCGTGATATAGGGTTGGTGTGATTCGACTCCGTAGTCCTGATGAGAGTTTGACAGGCAGTCCGCCGAACCCTTTGGTTCGCCTTAGCGGAAGGTGGGGCTGTCACAGGATGTCTTATGTTTCACAATTAATTTACATCATTCATATAAAAAAAAATCATTGAATATCCATTATCTGCTTCCCAATGCTGTTCATCCCCCGTATTGCAAAAACAATTATCACCCTCGTTAATCTTGTATTATCAAAACCTACATGGAATTGCTTGTAAACCAACCAAATAATGCCTTTAACACTTGGGTGTCAAAACAGCATCAGCTAATTTGAATGTCCAAGAATTGCTTGCAAACCAACCAAAGTAATAATGGTTTACAACTTGTAATAATAGTAATCAACTTGCAAATCTCCTGCAATTGGTTAATCTCCTGCAATTGGTTGTAAGCTAAAGACATCAATATTGAATTCACTCTTAAATGTATAAACGATAATCAGTGATGTGAATGTCCAGCAACTACTTATTAACTAGCCAAAATCGGATTAGCAATAAACAAGTTTCTTCCAAAGTTTTGTCTCTAAAAGTAATTCACATTATATGATCAAAATGTTTTCAATCGGCTAACTCATAACAACTCAGCCATCCATTGTTTTGCAATTATTCAAAAATCAAATATATTTACAGCAGCTAAATAATGATCAAAACGGAAAATTTTTCTTTAAAGTGTTTTTACATACTCTTACACACAACACTGCCATGACGATTTCTAAATTGTTCTGGCATAACGATTTCTAAATTGTTCTTGAACAAGACTAATTCAAACCAAAAGTTTTATTTGCCAATTAAGAAATTATAACAGCCCTAATCTACCAATTCGATTTGGATGATTAGAGAGTTATGATTATTGCTAATTTTCTTCTTATAGCAGTCATTAGATATTGAGAATTTCTGCACAAGTATGGAAAAAAGCAAATGCCTTTTGTATCCCCTTGTAATTACAACAAACAAAGACAAAAAAGATTCCAATATCTATGAATATTCTAAAAATCCAAGGACATACTTGATACTTTCATGATATGAGGAAAAAAAATTTTTTTAATTATCAACCAACATGTAGAGCGGTGGTGATTCGGAAGGAGGAGAGTTGAATTAGATAATTTCAAACGAAAGAGCGTGAGGGAAAGATTTTCAATTCAAACTTTCTATTTATACTGAAAGAAAAAAAAAAAAAAAGACTAACAAGCAAAACTTCAATAAATCTGGAATTTGTAGGATCGCATAAATTTTCACTTTCCAAAATGTTGAAGAAGTTGGGACCTTATTTCTCTATGTTGGGTTTCATTAAAAATTTTATAGAGTTTTTTTTTTTTTTTGAATACAGTAAGCGGAAGGGTCCAAAATCCCAACTACGTGTTCTCCAAATGCGGTCATGCTATTAGTCCTTAATTTTCACTTTTCTTTGTCGGACACGAAACGGTACTGTTTTGTGGGGCTCAACTAAAAACCATGTCGTGGCCCCATCCTGACCGTCCCATTACAGTAATCTAATCTTGGCCGTGAAATTGTTTGAAATGGAAAGTGCCTCAAATTGTGAGGCCCCCGATGCGTCGGGGAGTCTCTTGCATAGCTGCTACTCCATTAGAAGAATTTCTCGTTTACACAGACAGACCAGTCTGATAGACAGATCTTGGTATGCTTGCTCAAGTAAGAGATCAAAATTCTGGATCTGGAAATGGATATTCCCAGCTGGGATATCATAGGTTTTTTCTTGCGTAAGTTACCGATTGGTGGTGCATTCGTACGTGAAAGAATCTCTGATTGGGAGTTTTTGAGGTTTATTTGGGAAGCAATTCACAAGCTGGTGAGAGATGAACATGCAGAGCGGGTGCTGCTTAATATGGGATTCAAGATCGAAGCTGCAGCCCAGGAGATTGGCCGGGAAGTGCTATCCCTGGTGGACGACGAAATTCTCCAAGATTATTACAAGAAAACCTGCAATGTGATCGAAGAGATCGGAGAAGCTGTTGAACATCTTTTGGTTTTATCCGGGAGGTCGTCGTGTCGACTGAAATCACCATCCGATGTTTCTTTTTGGTTAAAATTTTTAGCCACTGTAGCCGGGATTGTGGCGAGTATGCGGTTGGGCGACCCAGTCAATGCCCTGGTGGCAGAGCTACGCTTGATCCGGAATTACATGGAAGATGTATTCAGGGATCTCGACTTCCCAGCAGCAGCAGCAGCAGGAGCAAGTGGTGATGATGTAAATATTATCAATGATTTCGTGACTCGTGTTGCATCTGTGGTGGTACGCACTGCAATCCACACTTTTAAGTGCCAGATTTACTGCAGAAAAACGAATGACCGAATCAAAGAGGAAGAAATCATTAATCTAACAAAACCTCTAGTGAATTTGCAACATGAGATTGATCCTACTAATCCCGGATTCATGGAGTTCCATCTCCATTTCCTTGTAGCTCTCCATAAAATTGGAGGAGTTGAGCCCAATTTTTGCTTTCGTTATCGCTATTATGTTGTCCCTAGAGTGAGGATCGGAGATCTTGGAGACAACTATTATCGAGTTATCTATGAGCGGTTAAAGCTTTTAGTCTTCACCAAACTGGAGGAGGACGAGGAAGAAGAGGATCAAACGGTGCCAATTTTCTTTGCAGAAGTTCATTCGGTGCTCATGGAGACGGGATCTCTCAAACAGACGCTGCTAAAAGCTGAGCCTAGACCTTCTGAGCTGCGTATAAATGTTTGTCTTCTCCTGACGGAGCTTTTCCTCAAGGGGATGCTTCACCCTAACATTCAAGGGAGCACTTTCCAAATTAAAGATCTGCTCAATCGTGCTAAAGATGATGCTGATCGGATGACAAAAGAATTGATAAAATGTTTGGGAGAACATCCTCATGGAAAGGCAGAGTATAATGCAGAATATGGGAATAAGACCGCGGCTCTCATTCAACAAGTGGACCACAAGGTCGCATCTCTCCATCAGTTATTTGAGGCCGAGAAGATAACAGAACCCACGGTGAGGAACTCAACTCTGCTATTGCTTCTTAACATTGTTGCTTTCAAAGCAGAAGCCTCATTTAAGAAGTTATCAATTGAGAGTAGTAGGGCAGCAAATTCCGTGGCTTATCGGAAAGATCAAATTGCACTACTCGCGCGGCTTAATCTTTTCACACTTCTCTGCAACCAGCTAAAGAAGGAGACACAGGACATGGACTTGATCTTCCCACAAACTGAAACTTTTGATGCAGGGATGACAGGACCCATCATCAATATGATCATGTCATCTTCTCAGCTGCTAGATAAGCAGAATCATCTCAGGGCAAAGCTTAGAGAGCTAAGTCCCCAATTTCCATTTTCTGATATTCCCAAGACTTACATGCCAGGGTTCATTGATTTCCTCGTCAGAAACCTAAAGGAGCTGCTGAAATATGATCCTGCATCAATTGAACAAGTCAGGAATTACATAAAAGAGATTCATCTACATTTCGAGTCATTGGGTTCCTTTCTCATGAAAGTTTCGGAGTCGGATATTGAGGACAATCCAGAACTGAAAGATTTTGGTGTTCATGCTGCCAATATAGCATATAAAATTGAGCATGTTATTGACTCAATTGAGGTTGATGCTCAATGGCAGCACTTCTTTTTGGTTTATGATCTGCTAGAGGAGTTAAGGATTGTTAGTAAACAAGCCTCTAGTATTCAGTTGACAACCTCGGATGCCAGAGTCCTAAGTAGCAAACACATCATCCAGGTTCCACCCAACATGATGTCACGGGCAGCAATCAATGAAATGGTGGTCGATCTCAGAGATGAAGAACAATATGTGATTGATCAACTCATCAAAGGATCCCCACGGCGTGGCATTGTTTCCATTATTGGAATGCCTGGTATTGGTAAGACAACTCTGGCTTGGAAAGTGTTTAACCATCCAAATGTTATGTATTACTTTCATTGTCATGCATGGTGTACTGTTTCACAAGTATATGAGAAAAGAGAACTGTTGCTGGAGATTTTACGTGGCATTCTCGGGCTTACGGATGAAATTCGTCAAATGACTAACGAAGATCTCCAATTAAAATTGCATCAGTGCTTACTAAGAAACAGGTTTCTCATTGTTATGGATGACGTGTGGGATGATGGAGTTTGGAATGAGTTAAGAAATTCATTCCCAGATGAAGCCAATGGAAGCAGAATTTTGATTACAAGCCGCCTTCGTGATGTGGCCTTGCAAATTGAACCAGATAGTGATCCTCATTCTCTACGCTTATTTTCTGATGATGAAAGTTGGAACTTGTTAGTAGGGAAAGTTTTCCATGGTGAAGGTTGTCCTGAAGAATTGTTGCTAGTTGGTAAGGAAATTGCCAAAAAGTGTAAAGGATTGCCTCTTGCTGTTGTTGCAATATCTGGTCTCCTCCAAAGGATCGAAAGGAGCACAGAATCGTGGGGGAAAATTGCAAAAAGCTTGATTGCTGAAGTTATGGAAGATCCAAAAGCTCGGTGCATGGAAATCTTAGAATTGAGTTACAAACACTTACCGGGATATCTAAAACCGTGCTTTCTTTACTTGGGAGTTTTCCTTGAAGACAAGGATATTCCTGTTAGCAAGTTGATACGGTTTTGGCTTGCTGAAGGTTTCATTCATGACTCTGAGTTGAAGAGCTTAGAAGGTATTGCCGAGGGTTACTTGATGGAGTTGATTAGCAGAAGCCTGGTGGAAGTCTCCAAAAGAAGATCCAACGGAACGGTCAAATCATGTCGCTTGCATGATCTGTTACGTGATTTTTGTCAGTTAAAAGCCAAAGAAGAGAACTTTTTCAAGTTAATAACCAGGTCTGATGAGCCATATGCTTCTTTTCCCAGCTCAGATTTTGGTTTTGAATTCGATTTTGGCCATTATTCTGATCACGTAACATATGAATCCTATCGGTTGTGCATATTTTTGAAGCGAGTTCATTTTTTTGAATCAGTGCCTTTTGGGCTGGGCACCCGTTCTATAATATTCTTTCCCTCAACTGATTCAGAGCCTAGATGTCCTTACAACATCTCACTCATTTGTCACAACTTCAAACTTCTGCGCACGTTGGATTTTGAAATGATCAACATTGGTATTACCTTTCCTGTTGAAATAGGACTATTGGTTCATTTGAGGTATTTGGCGGTTAGTGGGTATATGCGTTCTATTCCACAATCCATAGCCAATCTCCGAAAATTGGAAACTTTTGTTGTGAAGGGGTTACGTGGTCAGGTTGTCTTACCAGACAATATGTGGAGCATGGCAAGTTTGAGGCATCTTCATGTGAACATGCATGTTGCTTTCAAGTTGGGTGATAAGGAGTTTGGCGGCTGCTGTGAGTTGGGAAATTTGGTTAGCTTTTCACGTCTCTCTCTTTCTTGTGGTGAAGATACAGAGAACATAATGAAGAGGTTGCCAAATCTTCGTAAACTGAAATGCATATTCTTTCACCCACGGGATTCTTCCCAGAATTGTGGTCAGTTTCCAAAACTGGATTCTCTAACTCGTTTAATGTCACTCAATGTATTTTACGTTGGGAGAGCAATCACCAGTGAATTCGTTCTCCCACCAAATCTGAGGGAATTGACTCTTTCAAACTTCCACCTACCATGGAGCCGCATCTCAACAATTGGGAGACTGCCCAACCTGGAAGTTCTCAAATTACTTCTTGGTGCCTTTAAGGGGCTGATATGGGACATGGAGGAAGAACACTTCAAGGAACTTAAATTCTTGAAGTTAGACAATCTGAACATCTGTCAATGGAATGCTACTTGTGATCACCTTCCCAAACTTGAACGGCTTGTCTTGCAAAATTGCAAAGACCTCGAGGAAATCCCGAATGATTTTGCAGACATAGGTACACTGGAAGTGATTGAAGTGCACTGGTGCAGACAATCTGCAGAAGAGTCTGCAAAAAGAATCAGGGAAGCAACTGGGGACATCAAAGTTCTTATTAGTAGTTCATAGTATGATTGTGGATTCTGTTGTATTACTCCCCGAACTTGTAAGATAATCAAATTTCAGTAACTTAGTCTTCTCTCGATTCATTTGTGAGATGATGTGTTTCTTAATTCAACTTCCATGCAATGGAATGTTTTGCTCAATCTGGATACTCAACTATCAATTATTGCTTGAGATCTTTGGAAAGGTGAATTCAATTTGTTTAAGTTGGTTTTGTTGGTCCTCTAGATTATACCTACTGAAGCAAACTGAAATTCTAATCATGCAGATTTTGGTTGGCTTTAAAGTAATCTGCTAGATTTTTGTTTTAGATCTTTAGAAAATTGATTTCGTTTTGCTTTAAGCTGGTTTTCATACTCGAGAATATATCTAGTAAAACTCTTTAACTGCATTTAGCAAATTGAAATTCCGGTTTCAGATATCAATATCAGTGTTTCTTACAGAACTGCAGATTATTTCTCTATCGTGAAATGTTGGCGGCCAGAGCAGTTGCGTGCATAAATGATAACCAGTGGTGTGAATGCCCAAGCCCAACAACTACTTATAAGCTAACCAAAATCGAATAAAGCAACGAACAAGTTTCTTCCAAAGTTTTGTATCTAAAAGCAATTCACATCACGATCAAAATGTTTTCACTGGGCGAACTCATAACAGTTCTACCATTCGATTTGGATAATTAGAGAGTTAGGATTTTTGCTAATTTTCTTCTTATAGCAGTCATTAAGTATTGAGAATTCTTCACATGTATGGAAAAAAACAAATGCCTTTTGTGTCCCCTTGTAATTACAATAAACGAAGAAAAAAATTTCCAATATCCATGAATTTTCTGAAAACCCAAGAACATACTTGATACTTTGATGATATGAGAAAAAATTTTTTTAGTTAAATTATGAACCAACAAGCAAAGCCTCAATAAATCTCGAATTTGTTAGGACTGCAAAATTTCACTTCCCAAAAAGTTGAAGAATCTGAGACTTTATCTCCCTATGTTGGATAATTTCTTAGCTATGAGTAGTCTTCATCTTTGATTCTTCACCTCTATGTCTAATGAGAGGACAATGAATTCTACAAACGAGGTCTTTTCATTAGCCCTCAATTTTGATTTTTCCCTCCCCATGCGAATTGATACTGCGCTGTCGACCCACTAAATAGTAAATCGTGGCTGTCTCGTTATCACAATTTGATCTTGACCGGATTTGTCCGAATTGGATATTGCCTCAAATTGTGAGGCCCTCGTCCATTGGGGATAAGGGTAAGATTTAATTGAGCAGCTTGACTCGAGCTCGCTAGCAGCTCGATTAATTGCTCCATTGAATTCGATCAATATCGATCGAGTTTGAATCGAGTTCAAGTTACCTAATTAAGTTTTCAAATCAAATTCGAATATTAATAATAACGAAGACTTGAAGGCTGGACGAATTCTATTGAGTATTCAATTAAATATTTAATTATTATTTTATTATTATCCAAATTACAATTTTAGGTTTATTTGTTACAATAATTAAATATTTAATTATTATTTTATTATTTTCAAAATTTTTTAAGCTCTAACAAATCGAGTTCGAGCTTTGTGAATAGAGCACTCCACTCAAGTTTTATGTTAAATATTTATTTGTTATATTATTGTTATCCAAATTTTAACTTTAGGTTTATTTGTTAAAATAATTAATTACTATTTTAGGTTTATTTGTTACGATAATTAAATATTTAATTATTATATTATTATATTCCAAATTTTTTTGAACTCTAACAAGTCGAACTCTGTCAACAGAGCACTCGATCGAGTCGAACTCAAGTTCAACATCAAATGCTCGATCGAGCTCGAGTATTTCAGCCAAGCATGGATAGCATTTCACGGTGAAACTTTCACCTAATACATACATCAAAAGCATTTGTGTTTACCAGATCAGTCTGACAGACAGAACTGGTATGCTCGAGTAAGAGATCAAAATTCTGGACCTGGAGATGGCTATTTCCAGCTTTGATATCATAGTTTTTTTCTTGGATGTTGTACGGAGAAATAATGGAATGGTCGGTGGAATTTGGCGTGGAAACAGAGGTCACTGGCGTCAACGCTATCGCATCTTGGAAGATTGGAAGCTTTTGAGGTTAATTTGGGAAGCAATTCACAAGCTGATGAGAGATGAAGATGCAGAGCGCATGCTGCTTAATATGGGATTCAAGATTGAAGCTGCAGCCGAGGAGATTGGTAGGCATGTTGTAATTACAAACAAGAACAACACCCAGATAAAGTTTCTTTCCTCGGTAAATGCCAAAACTTTCTATGATTATTACTATAAAACCATCGAATGGATCGAAGAGATCGGAGAAGATGTTGAACACCTTTTGGATTCATCCGGGTGGTCGTCTTGTCGACTGCAATCTCCATCTGATGTTTCTTTTTGGTTACAATTTGTGTCCACTCTGGCCGATATTGTGGACGATACAAAATGGAGCGAGCCAATCGGTGCCTGGCGCAAAGAGCTAAGGTTGTTCGGGGAATACATGGAAGGTGTATCCAGTGATCTCGATTTCCCAGCAGCAGCGGCAGCAGCAGGTGGTGATGACGTAAATGTTATCAATGATTTCGTAACTCGTGTTGCATCTGTGATGGTACGCATTGCAATCCACACTCTTAGGCAACGGATTAACGACAGGAAAACAGCAGGCACAACCAGAAGGGAGGAAATGAAGCAGGTAACTAAATCTGTATTGGCTCTGCAACATGAGATTCATCCAACTAATCCCAAGTTCGTGGACTTCCATCTCCATTTTCTTGTAGCTCTCCGAAAAATGGGAGGAGTTAAGCCCGACTTTATGTCTCATTATAGCAATTATGTTGCCTCTAAAATGAGGTTCAGAGATATTCCAAAGATCTATTCTAAGGAGATCTCTTCTGGGGAGATCTATGGGCTGTTAAAGCTTTTAGCCTTCATCAAACTGAAGCAGGAGGAGGAGGAGGATCAAACTATACCAAATTTCCTTGCAGAAATTCATACGGTGCTCATAGAGAGGGAGTTCCTCAAACAGACGGAACGAAAGGGTGAGCTACGTATAAATGTTTGTCTCCTCCAGACGGAGCTTTTCCTCAAGGGGATGCTTCACTGTAACATTCAAGGGAGCACTTTCCGAAATAAAGATCTGCTCAAGGGGATGCCAGAAATATGGATACGTTTTTTGGGAAATCTTCTGCATGGGGAGGCAGAATATTGGAACAAGGCCTTGGCTTTCATTAAACAAGCGGACTACACGGTAGCATCTCTCCGTCAGTTGTTTGAGGCCAAGAGCATAACAGAATCCACGGTGAGAAACTCAATTTTCCTATTGCTTCTTAACATTGTTGTTTTCAAAGCAGAAGCATTATTTGAGAAGTTACAACTTGAGAGTGCAAATTCCGAGGGTCATCGAAAAGATCAAATTGCACTTCTTGTGCTCCTTAATCTTTTCACACTTCTCAGCAACCAGCTAAAGGAGGAGACAGAGGACACGGACATGATCTTCCCACAAACTGAAACATTTGATGCAGGGATGGCAGGACCCATCCACAATATGATCATCTCATCCTCTAAACTGCAAGATAAGCTGAATCCTATCAAGTCTAAGCTCAGAGAGATTAGTCCCCAGTTTCCATTGTTTGATTTTCCCAAGACTTACAAGACAGGGTTTGTTGAATTTCTCATCAGAAACCTAGAGGAACTGCTGAACGATGATCCTGTGTCAATTGAACCAGTCAGGAATTACATAAAAGAAATTCATCTACATTTCAAGTCTCTGGGTTCTTTTCTCATGAAAGTCTCAGAGTCGGAGATTGATGACTATCCAGAAGTGAAAGTTCTTGGTGGTCATGTTGCCAATATTGCTTATAAAATTGAGTTTGTCATTGACTCAATTGAGGTCGATCCTCAATGGCAAGGTTTCTTTTTGGTTTATGATCTACTGGAGGAGTTAAGAATTGTTAATAAGCGAGCCTCTAGAATTCAGTTGACGACCCCTCAAGCCAAAGTCCTAGATAACAAACACGTCATCCAGGTTCCACCCAACGTGATATCACGGGATGCTACACCGGCAATCAATGGAATGGTGGTGGATCCCAGAGATGAAGAACAATCTATAACTGATCAACTTGTCAAGGGATCCTCAAAGTTTGGCATTGTTTCTCTTGTGGGAATGCCCGGTATTGGCAAGACAACAATGGCTTGGAAACTGTTTAACTGCCAAAAGGTTTTGTCTCACTTTCATTGTCGTGCATGGTGTACTGTTTCACAAGAATATGACAAAAGAGAACTGCTGCTGGAGATTTTACGTGGCATTCTCGGGCTTACGGATGAAATTCGTCAAATGACTAACGAAGATCTCCAATTAAAATTGCGTCAGTGCTTACTAAGAAACAGGTTTCTCATTGTTATGGATGACGTGTGGGATGCTGGAGTTTGGAATGAGTTAAGAAATTCGTTCCCAGATGATGCCAATGGCAGCAGAATTTTGATTACGAGCCGCCTTCGTGATGTGGCCTTGCAAATTGAACCAGATAGTGATCCTCATTCTCTACGCTTATTTTCTGATTATGAAAGCTGGACCTTATTAGTAGAGAAAGTATTCCATGGTGAAGGCTGTCCTGAAGAATTGTCGCTAGTTGGTAAGGAAATTGCCAAAAAGTGTAAAGGATTGCCTCTTGCTGTTGTTGCAATATCTGGTCTCCTCCAGAGGATAGAAGAGAGCTCAGAATCGTGGGGTAAAATTGCAAAAAGCTTGATTGCTGAAGTTATGGAAGATCCAAATGCTCGGTGCATGGAAATCTTAGAATTGAGTTACAAACACTTGCCGGGATATCTAAAACCGTGCTTTCTTTACTTGGGGGTTTTCCTTGAAGACAAGGATATTCCTGTTAGCAAGTTGATACGGTTTTGGCTTGCTGAAGGTTTCATTCATGACTCTGAGTTGAAGAGCTTAGAAGGTATTGCCGAGGGTTACTTGATGGAGTTGATTAGCAGAAGCCTGGTGGAAGTCTCCAAAAGAAGATCCAACGGAATGGTCAAATCATGTCGCTTGCACGATCTGTTACGTGATTTTTGTCAGTTAAAAGCCAGAGCACAGAACTTCTTCCGGCTAGTAACCAGGTTTGATGAGCCATATGTATCTTTTCCTAGTTCAGATTTTGGTTTTGAAATTGGCCATCATTCTGATCCTGTCACATATGAAGCCTACC